CCACCCTATCTCCCTCCCTTTTTCCCCTCCCCCCAACAGTTCCACAACAGCATCTTAACATGTAAAACAAAACAAACAAACAAATTTAAATAAACAATTATGTACAGATCTTCATAAAATGCAGATTCTGATTCACTAGGTATGGAGTGGTGCCTCAGATATCCTGCATTTGTAACAAGTTCCTAGGTGATATTGATGCTGCCTTTCTGCATGAATAGCAAGGAGAGTAACCTATGACTATCTGAACTTTTTTTGTAGTAATTATCTGTCTAAGCAACTCCATTAGGTCAAATATTCAGGTCAGAATACTTTGGAATTACTCTGACTCTTGCTGTCTAACAAATACTCCACATTTAGTCTACCAGCAAATCCTGATGGCTGTATTTTTAAACACGTGAGCATTTTTCATCACCTTTCCTCTTTTACAAGCCACTGTCATCCCCCCCCTGGATTATTACAGTAGTCCTTTTGCTGGCTTCTACTTTTTCCCTTGCCTCTTCCTCTGCTCAAAAGCCCCTAGTGGCCCATCTCACTAAGAGAAGAAACCAGTCTGTTTACCAGCCTAGAAGGTGCTGCATGATTTTATCTTCTATTATTTCTCTGTCGTCATCTACTGCTTTCCCTCTCTTTTCTCTTTTGTAACCACGTTCACCTCTTTGTTGTTCCTTGGACATATCAGACATGCTCCTCCGCCTTAAGATTTTAATATTTGCTGATCTCTCTGCTTGGATGCTTAGTCTAGAAGCACTGGATATCCGTGTTACTTTTCCTTTCTTCTTTCTGATTGCCAGTTTAAATGTCACTTTAGCAAAGAGAGGCTGCCCCTAACCACTCTATGAAATTATAGCTTTCCCATTTTCTCACTCCTTTTTAACCATATTGTTTTAAATTTTTTTCCATAGTACTTCTCAACATCTAACATTAGATATTTTACTTACCTATTTTATGTATTTTGTCTCCCCCACTAGAATGTAAAGGCAGGGACTTCTGTCTGTCTGGTTCAACGCTCTACTCGAGAATTGCCTATTAGTTATTCCTGTAGCATTCAATAAATCCTTGAGTTAAAAAAAAAAAATCCCACAAAAGGTCATTGGGTATTTGTGTAAATACTTTCATTATTCTACCTCCTTTCAGAACAGTCTATCCCATTTGATAACTGCCCACATTCTCCTTAAGCTTTCTGTTCTTCCAGACTAAATCGTTCTTACTATTTTACTTTCTGCATGTGATATGTTTCCAGGTCTGTCAACATTTTAGTCATCTTTTCTGGACATTTATCATTATGTTGTTTGTCCCTAAAGAGTTAACACCAGAACTAAAACAAATGTTGCAAATATAGGCTGAGTGTGAAGTTTTCCTCTTGTTTTGACATTCTACTTCTGTTAAGGCATATTGATTGAATTTTTAAAAATTTTTAGTAACTAATGCTGACTCATTTGGGGCTTTTAATCCACTACAACCTGTAAATCATGTGCGCTACTGTTTCTTATCTATTGCTTTTGGAGTTGGTTTTTGAAAGTGTGGAACTCTGCATTTGTCCTTATTTAACTAAATAGGGAGTTTTTATTCCCTAATGGAATAACTCATACCTTTAATGTAGAACTCATACCTTTAATGTAGAAGCTACCAAGTGTAAATTATTTAAGAAAATAATTGAAAAATTATGTCAGATACATATGGCAAAATCACAACTGATGAAATCTGGGATTTCTTGTGCCTAGATATTCTAAAATGTGTTTGGACAGTTCATTGTAATCACGTGTCTTGCATGATTCAAGAAGAAATATTAAGAGTTGATTTAAAAAAATAATTTTGCCTCATAAATTTCTTCTCTTTGACTATCAAATTAACTTCCTTTCCTGCGTTTCTTATTTTTGCCTCATTTGTCTACTTCTTTAGGCCAAAGTATTCTTTCATTTCTTCTCTGTATTTGCTCAACAAATCTCAGAAATTCTTCTTCTGCTCCTTAATTTCTTGCTTTTCTAACTTGCTTCATAGCCAGTTACTCCGGCTATGCAAATCTCTCTGCTTCCAATCTCACCATTATAATCCATTTTATACTTATGCTGGCATATCAGTCTTTGGGGGAAAAAAAAATCACAGCACTTTTATCTTCTATGTCTTCATCAGAGGGGTCTATAAAGTTCTCAATCACCGGAAATCCATCTGTAATCTGGCCCTACTTGATTTGCATTGGTCTGCTTCTTTTATTACCCCTCACTGATCTTTGAGATGAAATTCCTAGCTTACATGCCCCCACACATACTCTTCCACCTCCACCCACCCACCCGTCTACGCACTCACTCTTCTTGTACTTTTGTTAGACTGGCTTAGCTAAATGCTATTTTATTCCTCCATACTATATTGCATCTTGAATGCCTTAAGTTCCTCAACACACATTACCTATCACCTTTCCTGAAAACTTCATTCCAAATTGATCTCTTTTCCCTAACCTTCAATTGTATTTATGTCTGTGCCACCAACTTTATCATTTAGTGTTTGTTGCTTAATAGCTATATAAGGCTTTTCCATTCAGTAAGACTGTACGCTTTTTGATGGCAAGGAATACAGTTGGCCCTTGAATAACACAGGTTGGAACTGTGCTGATATATTTATATGCAGATGTTATTCAATGTATTTAAATGTTTTTTAAATGTATTTTCTCTGTCTTAACTTTCTTAATAACATTTTCTTTATTGTAAGAATACAGTACATAATGCATAGGACATACAGAAACTGTGTTAACTGACTGTTTATGTCATTGGTAAGGTCAGCAGTAGGCGAGGATCAAAAGTTAAAGCAGAATGTCCAGTGTGTGGTGGTTGGCGCCACTAACCCCTGCATTGTTCAAAAGTTAACTGTATGAAAGAGTACTGGATTATCCACAAACTGGTTGGCTTGGCTCGGCTTGTACTTTGTTCTTTTGTGTAAAATAATTTATTACAGCTCAGAGTTGTTTTTTAACTGATACTGTTGGGAGAAAGCAAACATAAAATTCTCTATTATAATTCGTTCTATAGGAAACCCTTTTCCAAGGAGAAATGAAGAAGAAAACTCTATATACTCTAAATGTGGAAGATCAGGAGTATGAAGATATGGAAGGTAACTTTTCATTTTTGTAAAGCTCATGTATTGAAAGCAAAACTTAGTGTTTCCAAATTGTTCATTTGTATATACTTCAAAACGCACAAGGAGTTTTTTGTTTTTACTTATTTTTGTTGTTAAATTCTGAAATAAGCTGCCTAATAAGAAGTGTACACTTTTTTTTCCCTCCTCATATGTCTTATTTTCAATTGATCAAGGTTTTTGGTTTATCCAATTGTTTACTTTTCATTTTCTTCCAAACTTTTGCTCTCTACTGGTTTAGGAATTACTGTTTCTGTTTTTAGTGTTGACTTAAAAAAAAAATAACTGACATTGATATTTTCCTCTGTTTCTAAAGTTAATTCAATCTTCAATGTCAACAGAAGAACCTAGAACACTTTAACTCTGCTCTTTCTACTCTTGATTTATAGGTTGTAGTTATCCATTATTTTGGTTCTTTTTTTTTCGAACACCACAGATTAGATCATAATTTATATAGACAGTATTTGCTTGGGTTTCTTTCCTCTTTATTCCTTTTCTTCTTCCTGAAAAAAAAAATCTTAAGTTTCTTTAGTGAGTGTCTATTGCTGGTAAACTCTAAGTATATATTTTATCCTCGTCAAAACTATTCAAAGTTAGTTTTTCTGGGTATGTAATTCTGGATTGCTATGTTTTTGGGGGTTTTTTCCTCTTAACACTTTGAAGATATTTAACCATTTTCTTTTTCTTTTTTTCTTGCTGTCTAGAAATCTCTTCTCAATATAGTTGTCATTGTTGATGGTCTGTCCTCTCCAATTTTCTGCTTTTAAGATCTTGATTTCATCTTTGATGATGTACAGTTTTGCTCCATTGTTTCTAGGCATGGATTACTTTCATTTCTACTGTTTAGCATGCTTCATTTTCTTTTTCTTTTGTTTGTGTTTTTAATTCTTTCCCAGCCATTACCTCTTCAGTGCCTCTCCTTTATTTTCTTCCACATTAGTATATCAGACCTTGCTCTGATCTCATTTCTTAGCCTTTTTTTCAGAGATTACATCTTTTGTGTCTCCTAGATTCTAGGTAATTTCCTCAAATTTGTATTCCAGTTCACAAGTATTCTTTTCTTTTGGGTCTAATCTGGTGTTTAATCATTCTATGAGGTGTTTGAAAATTCTGGTACTTGAAGTCAGTGGGTTTCTAAATTTATTCCTGCTGATTCTTACTCAGGTGGCTTATTTTCTTAGGTCTGGTAATGTTTGATTATCAGCTCATATTTGATAAATTTAATCTATGGAATCCTGAGGGACTAATATAGGGATTTTCCTCTAGAGGATTTGTATTTGCTTCTTTCTGGGCCTGTGTTGGAACCACTTTAGCACCATTTGAGAGTCTATATTTAATACTGGAGTCTCTTCAGGATCAGTTCCTGTACCAGGAGTGATGAGAATATTAGTGTGGACATTTGTGCCCAGGACAATCCCAGCTTTCTATTTGTTTGCTGTTTACTGTTCACATTTTAGCTGACCATTTCTTTATTTTTGTTTTATTATTATGTTGAATCTTAGAGTTTCTTTTATTTTCTTATGAGCCAGCAATACATACTTTTATATGAGTTGGTTACATTGCTGGTGGCAGTTTAAATTAGTATGGATCTTAAGGAAGGTAATCTGGTAGTATCTATTCGCATTTTAAATGTACATGCATGATGATCTAGTACTTCCAGTATTAAGAGTTTACCCTGTAGATATATTTTTAAAATATAAAATAAAATTTTTTATTGCAGCATTGTTTGTTATAGCTGAAGGTTGAAAACAAGTGAATGTTCATCAATAGGTTAAAAAACAAAAGCAGACTAGTGTGTATAGTGATCTAGCATTTGGGTGAAGAAGGAAATATGGAAGATTATGTATGAAGATTTGTTTTTCTGTGCATTATAAATATCTTTGGAAGAACACGGAAGAAACTAAACAGTTGTTACTTATTGAATTAGTTGGAACTGGATGGATGGGGATACATTTGAATGGGAGTCTTGTCAGTATAGCCTTTTTTTAACCTTTAAATTTTTGAATCATGAATGTTACTTATTGTAAAATTAAATTAATGAAAAGTTCCTTTTATTCCCTCACTTAAAAATATAAGAAAGTAAACATTGGAGTATTGGGCTCAAGGAGTATGTTTGTTACAATTTATCTAAGATCTAATTGCTTTGTAGTAGAAGGGCCTAGTGTCTAGTCGAGTGTCTAGTCCATCATACTTCAAGAAACATAAGTCATTTGATTTGGAGAACTTAAAAGCACACATGGCTGTTTTACTTTATAGGTGAAGAAAATGGAGATAATGCTGCTACCACTGGTCTTTTGTATAATGAAGCTGACAGATGTCCAATATGTCTTAATTGCCTATTAGAGAAGGAAGTTGGTTTTCCAGAAAGCTGTAATCATGTCTTCTGTATGACCTGTATTCTTAAATGGGCAGAGGTAAGTCTGAGAATAACTATTAACCACATTTGACACATTACTGTATTTTAATTCCTTACCATGATATTATTCTACCTAAAGAGTTGATACTGCCTTTCACAAATTATTTCACAGTAATGTATTTTCCTTCTACTTTGGACAAATTTCCTTGTCTTACTCAGATTCTGTCAGTATATTTTCTTCTAATTATTCAGCTTTTTATTCTTTCATAATTAAAACATTTTAAATGCATAACTTTTTAAAAAAAACTTAACCTTACAGAAGAATTGATCAAATTATTTTTTTCTGCTAGAAATGCAGTAATTCATCTTCAGTAAACTGCTTCTTAGGATATTTGTTTACTACTAATAACACCTTCCGTCTGCTTTTTGTTTTATATTTTTCAGAGAATTTTTGCATAGGTTATTTGATTTCTTCTTTATATCAGCCTTGTTGAATAACCAGAGCAGATGAAATAGTATCCTTCCATTTTACAGATGAGGAAACTTGGATATTATGTTCTGCAATTTATAATTTGGCCAAGATCTCTTGGCGTAAGGGGCAGAAGTGAATTTAGAACTGAATTTTCTAATTCTACTTTTTAATTTAGTATGAACTAATTTCAGAGTCTGAGTTACAGATATTACTGAGGTTCTTCATAGATAGTAAGTGATTATGAAACAAGACATTTTGGACTTTTAATTTGAGCCAAATACTTTGAAGGAAATATTAATTCTTGTAATCCCCATTGTTGTGAATTGTTGAATAAAAATTCATTGTTCTTTACATTAATCATGCTGTGTTTTCTGAGTATTTTGTCAGTGTGTAAAAATTAGTAAAGGAGATAAATCTCAAAAATATTTTTAACATTATTTGCATTCAAATTTTTTGATGTCCCTGAGCACATTGGAATTAATTGCATATTGCATAATTGGGGTTTTTTAAGTTCTGTGTTTTACTTCTGTTTTCACTACTAGTGCAGAAAGGGGAACATATGATGACTCTATGGCTAAGTTCTGAGAGGAGGGAAGAAACAATTTGTTATACCAGTTGAATTCATAATAGTATGTATAGAAATTGTTTTACTTTAGATTAAGATCTAAAGTAGTCTTTTTTTTTTTTTCCTTTTTGTCTTTTTTCGTGACCGGCAACGGGATCGCAACCCTCAGTGTTGCGCCCGCGCCGCGCTCAACCAGTGAGCGGACCGGTCTCTATATGGGATCCGAACCCTCGGCGGGAGCACTGCCACATTCCCAAGCGCCGCACTCTACCAAGTGCGCCACCGGGCTGGCCCTAAAGTAGTCTTTGATAAGAAAGGACTAAGGATAGGTGAAAATATATTTTGGGGAAAAGTATTTTGAGTTCTGCTTAGTTAATATGATCGGTAAATCTCTTTATGTGTTTGCAGGAGCATTGGTTAATGAAATAAGAATGCATATTTTTCTCTGCTGCCCAATTAAAGATTTCATCTGTGTTGAATTTAGTTCATATTGGTTTACTTTGTGATTAAAATTTTTTGAAAAGGGATTTTGCTTGGGGTAGAGAAGCAATATTGCTGGATAGGTGGAAGGTTTCAATTCAGTGCTTTTTATAAAATTGCATTCAGTGACATCAGAATTATAAACTTCAACAACATAATCTGAATATATATATTTTTCTCTAAGAAAATTAGAATGTATAAAGTAGACATGGTTCTTCATCCTTCCTTACCACTCCAACTACATCTTTCACACAACCATAAGTTTTACCAAGATGTACACATTCGATATTTCTCTAGGGTATGTATCTAGAAGTGGAATTGCTAGGTTGTAGACTATGCACATATTCAGTTCTACTAGACAGTGGTAAACTTATCTATATTTGTAACTCTTACTCAATATTTTTAAGTTGAAAATACTTAATAATATACATACATAGTGTTCCAGTCAACACCTTTCTTTCATGTAATATTTTCCTTCTTTTTTGTTTTTCCCTTGGATATATACACTTTGTTGAAGCCAAATTGCTTTTCAAAAGAAAGTTCTTATCTGCTGTACTACTATCATATATTGTGATGCCATGAGGGGCATAGAGGAGTGGTGGTGGTATTGTTTAAATAAAAGTAATAAACTTTTAAAGGAGAGAATAAACAGAACATTCTGAATAATTTCATTATTTCTAATGGGGATAGCAGGCATCAATTAAGTAAACCATTAAGTTGAACAGTAACAAGAGGACAATCCTACTAATAAATTGCTCATTATAAATTATAAGTGAGTGCTGCTTAACAAAATCACTTAGGCTTTAAGCTAAATTTTCAGTTTGAATCTTTTATTGCTGTAATAAAAATTAGATGTGTTTTAAAGTAAACAAGTGCTTTGACAAATAAAATCAGATTTTATATTTGCCAGTGTTTTGTTTTTTCATCATCATTAGTTAAGATCTCTCATTTTCCTCAGCCTCCTTCTGTTTAAAAAAGAGGCATGCAATTTACTTCAGAATTCAGAATTAGGAATAAGTGTATGTATTCAGAGTCTCCTAACGGGCCATGCACTACACTAAGGCTTTTCTTATACTTTCTTTGATTTAATTTCATTTAATTCACTATGTTAATGTTTATTTGATATACAAGGCAAGGATTCTAAGCTCTAGTAATTTGTTTCCAAATATTCAAGGGATAACCTGAAATTAAAATAATTTTTAAAAATTGATCCATAGTTTAAAATTTTACTAATCTTCACTCTAGTAGGAGAGTAGAAATCAAAGTGAGATTTACAGTGGTTGGAAATCTACATAGTAAGAAAAGAGCAGAAATGTATTCAGGATAATCTTTTTAGATTTCTGTGTCTTTCAGAAATTTAGCTGTGCTTTCTGAGATTGGTACTCAAGGTTCACTGAAATATGATTCAGAATGGATATTAGCACCAGAAATGAAGGAGTCATTTATTTACTTTCACCTTAATATTTTAGGCATTGAAGAAATTCTGCTTTGTAAGAAACCAGTATTTAGAAAAGTTAAGGTATATTGTAGTCTAGTATATTTATTTTGGACACTCTTTCATGAAAATTTTCATGCCTTTAAACATATCTGTATCCAAAATCAGAGTAGTTTCAGTCTCTTCAAGATCTAAAATTTTGGTTCTGTGGTTAAACAAAAGCTGTGTAAGTACTTTAAAGTGATTGAGTAACTGAACTTTTGTAATCTCTAGGTATGTCATAGAATTCGCTTTACTTAGGGCTTAAGGAGCAATTCAGGGTAATGGAACCTGTGGTGGTCTTCATGGCCCGTAGCCTAATTGCCTGCCCTTAGGGACACTAGAATAGATTGAAATTAAGCATGTCTGCTATGACTGTTTAGCTTCAGGGAATTCATAGACGGTAAGCCTTTTGATTTATAAAATAATAATGATATAAAAATAGAATGTTGATAAAGACAATAATTGACAATTAAGGAAGGTTGAAATTTTTGTTAATTTAAACAATCACTGTTAGAGCTAAGAGTCTGAAATTAAGTAAAAGACAGCCTTTGAACTGGTGAAATATGTACAAAGCCAGAATACTAAAGTTTATCGGCTATTCAGTTAGAAAAGTTACTTATTTTATCCATACTGTGAGCAAAATCCCAGTCTACACTTACTGGGAATTTTTGCCTTACATAAATTTAACCCTGACTATCTCAGTTTGCACATTTAAAATAGACAATTAAAAGGTGAAAGCTAGAAAAGTCTGACACATGGACTGTAGTAGTGACAACTTATCAGAATTATGATCCCTACAGACAAGATACCTGCCTCCACATATACACACTGGCTAGGAGAATAGAATTCATGATTTTGCAGTTGACAAGAAGTGATTAAAATTTCAGCCCTTAACAGGTTAAAGTTTGAGGACTTAGGAACAGTACATGTTTAACGCATTTAAGAGTTTTGTTTGCTTTGTTCAAAGGGTGATGCAAAATTTATGATTAGGATGTTCTTGTTATCTACTATCTAAAAGATATGGGTTTTCTTCCCATATCTTTTAAGTAATATAAAATATTCTCCTTATCTTTTAAGTCTTACTTTTAAGAATGTGATTAGCTTTCCCACTCTAAGCAAATTTACCTTCCTCAACTTACTTATTTCAGTCCTCCATTTTGTGTCAAATGCTGACAAGCTTTAGTTTGAGAAAGTGAGGTTAATGAAATAGAAATTGGACAGTTGGCAAAGGCATGCTTTCTCTTCTGAGACTAGAAATAAAGAGTCTTTCCAAGGTGACATACAGGTCTTGAAGAAGTGAGCAACGTTCAGTGAAGAAAGGTGAGGAGTATATTTTTAAATTAATACATAACAAAAAGGTATGAATAGTTGACTTATGTCTTGACTACTGATGTGTTTTATATACACGTGCTCCTTTATGCAATAAGTGGAAATTTACATGTCATTCTGGTGATATTACTTTTCAGTAATGTAATAATTCAGCAGAACTTTATTGTTTGGTTTTTTCAATCAGTCTTTCTTCAAACTTAAATTAAAAAAAGATTTCTGAACTAACCCAAACCTCTGTGTTATGTGGTTCTCTGTGAACTGTAATTTAATAACTATAATTTAAACCTATCTGTGCTCCTGGTGAATAGCTTTATAATAGTCCTTTATAATTGGTAAAGTACAGTTGGCCTTCTATATCCATGGATTCTGCATCTGTGAATTCAACCAATCAGGGATGGAAAACAGTTGAAAAAAGACTTGTGTCTGAACATATACAGGCTTTTTTTTTCTTGTCATTATTTCCTAAACAATATGGTATAACAACTATTTATATAGCATTTATATTTTATTAGGTACTGTAGGCAATCTAGAGGTGATTTAAAGTATACGAGAGGATGAGCATAGGTTATATGCAAATAGTATACCATTTTATATCAAGGACTTGAGCATCTGTGGATTTTGGTATCCGCAGGGGGTCCTGGATCCAGTCCCCCACGGATATCAAAGGATGACTGTATTATCAGATAATTTCATTTAATTATTGCATCTGTGCAGCAGGTGATCAGGGCTGTCTGT